CCATTGTGCGAATATACCACAGCTTCTCTACCCATTCGTTTGTTGATGGGCATTTAGGTTGTTTCCAACTCCTTGCTATTGTAAACAAAGCTGCGATAAACATGGGTATACATATAATAAATATATCTTTGTACACATACTTAAGTGTGTTTACTGTCCAATGCAGACAATCACATTACCAAGTAATCTGTGCTGCCTGGGATAATCACTTTATATTTACCATAACAAATGGCTTGCTAATGTTTGAATTGTCAATTAACATTTGATTGCATGGTACAAAGTGAATTTCTTTGTAATTGAAATGGCAGGTATTAGAGATTTGCTTTCTAAGAGGACTCAAATGGTGAGGTAGTATTTAAATATATGGATGGCTATTGGAAACAGAAATTTTTTTGATGGCTAATTGGATTTTTACATTTCCAATTAACGGTGATAAGGCTTTGAAAAATATTTCCGTTTGTCTGCACATGTCTTTATGTGCATGTTCTTCCACAGCTGAGTCTAAAGTTCTGTATAATAAATGCACTTTTGTTGACATATACTTGCCATGTTAACATGAGGTTGGAAACTGGCATATAACCTTGCTGATTTTCAAGGAATTGAGTGCTTTTAGGCTTTGTTATGCAGTGTGTTTGCTGGCCCAGCAGCACTCACATTACCTAGAACATATTAAAAATAGAGAAGTCTCGGGTCTTAGCGAGACTTACTGAATCAGACATAGAATTATAGCCCAGAGGGCGCTAATGGGCAGTAAGGTCTGAGAAGCACTATCCTAAATCATGTCTAGACCTATTTATTCATTCAGTGGCCTGTCCTAGGCTATTTTCTTTGGAAAATAGGAAATTGGTTTGCCATTTCCTACCCTCAGACCTATTAGGGAAAGTCAGCAAGGACATTGGCTATAAATAATACTATGTGCAAAACAGTCTATAATTATTAAATTAAAGTATCCACATCTTCCAGATCAGTCCCCAAAATGTGAATAAGGATTAGCCAGGTAAGAGTGAGGAGCGTTTCAGGTATAGAGAATGTTGTTGTTGTTCTTGGGTGCCATCAAATCGAGTATGACTCATAGTGAACAGCTAACCTGAACCTTGCCCTATCCTGTGCCATCCTCATCATCTCTGACATGCTAGAGCCCATTGCTGAAGTTACCTTGTTAGTCCATCTCACTGGGGATCTTTCTGTCCTTCACTGACCCCTCCCCTCAACCTTTCCAAGCATGGTGTCCCTTTCCAAAGAATAGCCTCTCCTAGCTCCTTGTCCAGAGTATGAAACGCAAAAATGTGGTATATACTGGAAATTGAAGCTAATTTAGTATAGTTTATATGTTGGAAATTGGAGCTAATTCATTCAGTATGGCTTGGATTTTGTCCAGAAAATGACAAGAAACAGAGCAGGACTGTTAAGCAAGGGTTGTTAAGGGCTGAAAATGCTAAGAAAGAATTTGCACTTTAATCTGAAGATAAGGAAAACAAAGGAGTTTAAGAAGAGAGACCTACATAGTGAGACTTGTGTAATTGTTGCTCCAACAGACTCTCTGTTCTTCAAGGAGGCAAAGACTAAATGGAACAGAGTTATAGTAAGGAAGAAGAATAAGCAAGATTTAGTGTCTCCTTGAATAAGAAAATTAAGAGAAAGAGATGGTCAAAGACGGCATTGAACTGGAAGGACACCTAGAAGGGGAATGAGGTTAAGAATCTGGGTTGGCGAGAATGCATAATAATTTGGTGCTGGCACACTGAATGGGGGTTGTTGTTGTTATGTGCTATGTGATGCCCTGTGACTCATGCTGACCCTAAGCACAAGGCTCTGAACCCTGCTCTATCCTGAACCAAAAGAAATAGAGAAGAAAAGTCCAAAAGGAAAGCATGCAGATTTATATGAGGATAGCTTAAGGGATGATTACTAGAACCAGAAGTAGGATTTACTGATACCACTGTTAGTCAATTGTAACTCATATTATTGTTGTTGTTGTTGTTGTTTTGTACCATCCAGTCAGAACTGACCCATAGCTGACCGTGCAGTGGGTTTTCAGAAACAGTAAATCATATGGGAGGGGATTGTTCATCCTTCTGCCATGGAGCAGCTGGTGGATTTGAACCATGTCTACCTCCATTACCTCAGTTTCTGTGTCAGTCCATCTTGTCCGGAGTCTTCCCCTCTTGCACTGTCCCTCCATCCTTCCAAGCATGCTATGCTTCTCCAAAGACTGGTCCCTCCTGGCAGCATGCCCAAAGTATGAGGCAGAGCTTCAAAATCCTTGCCTTCAAGGAACAACTTGGTTTCCCTCTCCCCAGGACAAGACCTGAATGTTTGGAATAAGAATTCTAAGTAGACATATCCATTAGGTAGATGGATATCAAAATCTGACTGTTTGACCTAAAGGTACAAAAGTTTACCTTTAGAATAGAGGGACAATATAAGGTTGAGCCAAGCACTGGAAAAAGAAAAATAATATAAAGTCCTCAGGAATTCTCATCCAGAAGGAATGATGGGCAAACACACAAATATTCTTGCTTGGTGCTACAGTAGAGGCGTGCAGACAGCACTGTATAGGCACAGAGGAGAGACATTCATAAATTTATATGAAATAATTCAGTACAAACAAATGAAAGTGATATTTATAACTTATGAGTTTCATGCTGCTTTATGTTTTAGGTAACAGTTGACAAATGGGAACCTTTATTGAACAACTTGGGGCATGTCTGCAGAAAACTTAAGTAAGTAAAATAGTGCATTTTCAGAAATAGACTTTGTGGTAAAAGGTTTGTTTAATTTTGTGTGACCTTTTTCATCTTTTTGCTTCATCATCCTCTTCAGCTTTCTTGTTCTTGTCTGTTTAGATATAATACGTCTAAAAACCAGTGCTGATTTTCTTTGTCTCTATGGGTTTAATTTTATTTTAGAAACATACTCATTTAGAAAGTATAATTAATTTTTTAGAGAAAAGATTGTAGTGTTCCACATTAATTTAGAAGAGTTTAGACAGGATCTACTTAAAACCTTATCTGTTTTCTAACTCATTGTTTCCTGACATCTGTTCTGTAGTGTAATAAATAGGTGGCTATATGTGGAACAGATCATTCAGGAAACTGGGCTTTATGAGGAGGAATGTAGTATCAGGATTGGAGGAAGACTCGACAGCCTACCTTATGTAGGTGACACAACCCTGCTTACTGAAACTGAGGAAGACATGAGAAGTATGCTGCAGAAGGTCAAGGACTATAGTCTTCAATATGGATTGAAGCTCAACATCAGGAAGACAAAGATTCTCACCACAGGGCCAATTGGTAGCACCAAGATAGATGCGGACGAGATTGAGGTTGTTAAGAATTTCAGCTTACTCAGCTCCACCATCAACTCTCATGGCAACGGCAGTCAGAATATCAGAAGACGAATTGTTCTGGGAAAATCTGCTCAGGGACCTCTCCAGTGTACTGAGAAGCAACGATGTCCATCTGTAGACTAAGGTGCACCTGATCCAGGCCATGGTCTTCACAATTATTTGTTATGCATCAGAGAGGTGGACAGTGACTAAGGATGATAGAAAAATTGATGCCTTTGAGTTGTGGTGATGGGGAAGAGTCCTTGGACCACCAAGAAAACAAATAGGTCTGTTTTGGAAAGGAGGAAACCAAGTTTCTCTTTGGATGCTAGGATTTTGAAGATCTGTCTTACATACTTTGGGCACGTAGCCAGGAGGGACAAGTTTTTTGAGAAGGACGTCATGCTTAGAAGGGTAGAGGGACAGCACAGGAGAAGATGGATTGATACAGGGATAGGTGTGTTGGAATCAGTGAGACCGTCTCAGTGCAGACCAGGCTTCAGAGCTGTTCTACATCATGTTGCGGAGTCGCAGGTGCCTCAACAGCACGTAACAACATTAAAAAATGAAGTTGATGGTTTAAAAAGTTCGGAAAGTTCTGAATATTGTAAAAGTTAACATTTTTTTTTAAATTTCTTGAGTATTTCTTTATTTCCAAAACTGTATGTTTGAAAAATGCAGTATTTACCAGGCCTACTTGAATTGATAACCTGTGTTATGCAGACAACACAACCTTGCTTGCTGAAAAGGGAGAAGGACTCGGAGCTCTTGTTGCAGAGGATCAAGAACTGCAGCCTTCAGTATGGATTGTGTCTCAGTGTCAAGAAACCAAAGATTCTTTCCACTGAAACAATAGGCAGTATCATGATGGATGAAGAAGAGATAAAACTGTCAGCAGCTTAATCTTGCTTGGATCCACAATTAACATCCTTGGTACTAGCAGACAGGAAATAAGGAGACACGTTACATCAAGAAAATTTGCAGTTAGGGACCTCTCCAAATTAATTGAGGAGTAATGAGGTCAGTTTGAGGATTAAGGTGTGTTTGTGTCAGGCTATGGTCTTTATGATTACTTGCTATACATCTGAGAGTTGGACATTAAGTAAGGATGACAAAAAAGGAATTGACTCCTTTGAGCTGTGGTTTTGGAGAAGAGCACTGGACATCCCATGGACGGCCAAGAGAACAGATAGGTCTTGGAGAGGGGTGAGTCAGAGTGCTCTTTGGAGGAAAGAATGATGAAGCCTCACATCACATACTTTGGGTATGTTGCTAGGAGGGGCTATTCCTTGGAGAAGGACATGATGCTGGGAAGGGTAGAGGGTCAACAAAAAAAGAGTAAGACCTTTAACCAAGTGGATTGACATGGTGACTGCTGCAGTAGGCTTTTGTGTGTCAGGAAGTGTGAGGATGGCACACGATAGAACGTTCTTCAGATCTTTTATTCATAGGGTTGCTATGACTTGTACTTCACTCAAAAGCACTAACAACTTGAAAATGGATCTTTTTTTTTGCAAGAGAAAATACTCAAGATAACTTGAGCAAGTAATGTTCCTTAGCAAATAATTTTCTGAGTAACTCTTGTTGACCTTAAAGCTGAACTCTGTTGTTTTTAACCACATCTGGTATTAGAGGCTTACTTTCACATATGAAGGAACACAGTCCTAGGAGTTGAGGATCGTACTTCGTTTGTTGTTGTTTGGTGCCAGCAAGTCACCTACAACTCAGAGCAACCCTGTGGACAGATCTGAACCCTCCACCATTCTTCACCCTCTTCATAGTCCCTGATTTGCTCAAGCCCATTGTTACAATCATGGTGTCAATCCATCTCCTTGAAGGTCTCCCATCTTTTTTCTATGATATACAAAAAACAATGTGAAAAAAATCCATTCAAACATCCCTTTTTAGCTGACTGAGTGAGCACTTCAGGAAAATACATTTAAGGAAGTGTTGCAATATATGAAAGTAGGATCTAAAGAAACGTTCAGACTCAAAAACTCCTTGCTTTCTTGGCAGGCTCTGGTGACCTAGTGGTAGGAAGCTGCACTGCAATCCCGGAGATGTGTGGTTCGAATCCACCAGATGCTCTGCTGGAGAAGGAGAGACCATCTCCTCCTGTACCAGTCAGATCTGATTTGATGGTGCACACAAAAAATAATAATAAAAAAAAAACCCAGCATCAAAAATTCCTTGCTTTCTAGTAGGAACTGTTCGTCTATCACAGCTGCCCTCCAGCAGATTTTCAGAGACAGTAAATTCATGTCAGAGACATGAAAGGAAATTGCCAATTTTTCTCCCTTGGAGGAACTTCTTGTTCTGTGCCATCGAGCCACCTGCAACTCATAGTGACCCTATGTACAACAACCCTAAACCCTGCTCTATCCTGTGCCAATTCTATTGTCTCTGATACATCTACCACCATTACCCCAATTACTGAATCAATCCATCTCGTCAAGGGTCTTTCTTTCCTGCGCTGTACCTCCACCATCCCAAGCATGACATCCCTCTCCAAGGACTGGGCCCTCCTTGTAACATGTTCAAAGTATATCGAACAAAGCTTCAGAATCCTTGCCTCCAAGGAGCAGCCTGGTTATCCCTCTCCAGTACAAACCTGTTCATTCTCCTAGCAGTCCATGGTATATTCAATACTCTTCTCCAGCACCACAGCTCAAGGCATAAATTCTCCTTCTGTCATCCCAAGTCATTGTCCAGCTCTCTGATGCATAGCAAGTGATTGCAAAGATCATGGCATGTACCAGGTGCACCTTGGTCTCCAGACTGACATCGATGCTCTTTAGTACTTTGGAGAGGTCTCTAACAGCAGACTTTCCCAGTGCAATATGTCTTTTAATTTCATGGCTGCTAATGCCAAAAATGTTGTCTGTGGAGCCAAGCAAACTAACGCTGTGAACAATCTCAGTCCCGTCACCATCTATCGTGATGCTGCCAGTCAGACCAATGGTGAGACTCTGATTTCTTGATATTGAGTTTCAATCCATATTGAAGGCTACAGACTTTGAACTGCAGTAAGTGCTTCTGGTCCTACTCAGTTTCAGCAAGCAGGATTGTATCATTTGCATAACACAGATTATTGATGAGTCTACCTCCAATCCTGATGCCACATTTCTTCTCATAGAGCCCAGCCTCCTGGATAGTCTGTTCTGCATATAGATTGAAAAGGTATGGAGGTAGGACACATCCCTGGCATACACCCTTCGAAGTTTTGAACCATGCAGTGTTCCCTTGCTGTGTTCTGACAACTGTCCAAGTATTGGTTTCATATTAGCACAATCAAGTGTTCTGGGATTTCCATTCTTCTCAGACTTAGCCACAGTTTTTGTGGTTCACACAGTCAAATACCTTTGCATAGTCAATGAAACACAGATATACATTCCTCTGGTACTCTCTGCTTTCAACCAAGATCCATCTAACATTAGCTACAATATCCCTAGTACGACAGCCTCTTTTAAACCCAGCCTGCACTTCTGGCAGTTCTCTGTTGATGTGCTGTTCCACTCGTTTTTGGATAATCTTTAGCAGAATCTTGCTTTCATGGGATATTAATGATATTGTTCGATAATTTCCACATTCTGTCAGATCACCTTTATTTGGAATGGGAACAAATACAGATCTCTTCCAGTCAGTTGGCCAGGTGGTTGTCCTCCAAATTTCTTGGCACAACATGGTGAACACATCTAGGGCAGTATCTGTTGAAATATATCAGTTGGTATACTGTCAATTCCTGGGGCCTTGTTTTTTGCCAATTCTTGCTTTCATAATTAAAAAAGTCATTTCTAGATCCATCTTGAAATGCAATATTGTGAGTGACAGGATAGTATCCAAACGCATACAAGAAAGTCCAGTGTATACCACTATCATTCAGATACATGCACCAACAAACAGAGCCAAAGAAGAGGAAATAGATGATATCTACCAGCTTTCACAGAGATCGATCAAACATGCGAAAATAGATGATATCTACCAGCTTTCACAGAGATCGATCAAACATGCGATCCAAATGCATTAATAATAATAAAATATAGAATTAATAATATTGTTGCTGTTGTTATGTGCTGTTAAGTTGCTTGCAACTCATAGTGACCCTATGTACAACAGCCCTAAACTCTGCTCTGTCCTGTGCCAATCGCACTGTCTCCAGTACACCCATCCCAATTACCCCAGTCACTGAATCAATCCACCTCATAGAGGGCTTTCCCCTCCTGCACTGTCCCTCCACCCTACCAAGCATGATGTCCCTTTCCAAGGACTGGTCTCTCCTCATAACATGTCCAAAGTATGTTAGACGAAGCCTAAGAATCCTTGCCTATAGGGAGCCGCTCGGTTTAACCCTTTCCAGGATGAATCTGTTTGTTTTCCTAGCAGTCCATGGTATTCTCAATACTCTTCTCCAGCACCACAGCTCAAAGGTATCAGTTCTCCTTCTATCCTCCTTAGTCACTGTCCAACTCTCTGATGCATAACAAGTGATTGCGAAGACCATGTCCTGTATCAGACACACCTTAGTCTCCAGAGAGACACCATTGCTCTTCAGTACTTTAGAGAGGTCCCTAACAGCAGACTTTCCCATCACAATACGTCTTCTAATTTCCTGATTACTGGTGCCAAGAGTGTTGACTATGGAGCCAAGCAAACTAAAGCTGTGAATAATCTCAGTCTCTTCACCATCCATCCTGATGCTACCAACTGGTCCAGTGGTGAGAATCTTTTTCTTCTTGACATTGAGCCTCAATCCAAACTGAAGGCTGCAGTCCTTGACCCTCTGCAGCAAGCGCTTCAGGTCCTCCTTAGTTTCAGTAAGCAGGGTGTGTCATCTGTATAATGCAGATTGTTGATGAATCTTCCACCAATCCTGACGCCACACTTCTCCTCATAGAGCCCAGCCTCCTGGATAATCTGTTCTGCATACAGGTTGAAAAGGTATGGAGACAGGACACATCCCTAGTGTACGCCCTTCCCAATTTTGAACCATGCTGTGTTTCCTTGCTCTGTTCTGACGACTGCCTCTTGGTCCAAGTATAGGTTTTGCATTAGCACGATCAAGTGTTCTGGTATTCCCATTGTTCTCAGAGTCAGCCACAGTTTGTTACGATCCACACAGTCAAACGCCTTTGCATAATCAATGAAATACAGATATACATTCCTCTGGTATTCCCTGCTTTCAATATTATATCCTATTAATAATAATGGTGATTGAAATGCAAAAAGAAGGATCAGAAGTTGGAAAACATAGACTTCATGACAGAAATGAAGCTGGAGATAGAATGATAGAATTTTGCACAATGAACGATTAATGCATTGGAAATACATTTTATAAGAAACAAATACAGTCTGTACACATGGATTTCATCTGATGGTATCAGATCAATTACATCTGTGGGAAGAACCTCTGGAGAAGTTCAATATCACCTGTGAAAACTAGGCCAGGTGCTAGTTGTGGAACAGACCACCACTATTCATATTCGGGTTCAAACTGAAGCTAAGGAAAATTAAATCCACAGGAACCAAAATAAGACCTTGAGTCTATCCCACCTGAATTTCAAAACCATCTCAGGAACAGTTTTGAGGCCTTGAACACTAATAAACAAAGACCAGATGAGCTTTGGGAGGATATCAAGAATATCATCCAGGAAGAATGCAAAAGGTCATTACAAAGACAGAAGAGGAAGAAAAGACCAAAATGGATGTTAGAGGAGACTCTGAGTATTGCACTAGAGCACCAAGAAGCCAAAGCAAAGGGAAGAAATCAAGATATTAAGGAGCTGAACGAAGATTTGAAAGGACAGCATGGGAAGACGAAGTAAACTATTATAATTTCTTAAGCTCAAGGAACTGAAGAACAAATTTGAAGAACAAAGCCTCGAGTTGTAATACTTAAAAATGCTTTGGGCAAAATATTAGATAATTCAGGAAGCATTAAAAGAAGATGGAAAGAGTATTACAGTCATTTTACTTGAAGGAATTGGTGGACACAGAAGAATTTCATGCAACAACGTATGAGCAAGTGCCTGTGGTGATGAAGAAGTTCAAGCTGCTCTGAAGATTGGAGGAAATAATCAATTTAATTGCCTGCCTTTGAGTTTACAGCTTAACTCCCTATCCGCTAGTTCCCCAGAGCTGCCTAAAGGAAAGTTAAAGGCTATTATTATTACATAGAGGAAAATATTTCTTAGTTTTTACATAAATGAGTACTCAGCTCCTGAATGTAACACTTTTATTGTAACCATTCATTTCCTTTTTATCCCTCCTTCTCATTGTTCCCCCCTTCTTACCTTTTCTCTCTTCTCTCCTCATCTTCTCTTACAGAAAGTATGATGAAGCATTGGATTATCACCGTCAAGCACTGGTATTAATTCCTCAGAATGCATCCACCTACTCTGCTATAGGATATATCCACAGCCTGATGGGAAATTTTGAAAATGCTATAGACTATTTTCACACAGTATGTCTTTTGTTTATATCTAACTTTAAGTCAGGTTAGCATTCACTGGTACTTTTTAATTTTGGGGATACTTTGTTTTTCATTCTTTGCAGAGCAAAGTGTATGTATGTTTTACCACATCATGAAGTTAATCTTACAAATGTAAGACTTGCAATAAATGTGCAATTAGTCATACAAATGATATTTGATGTAGTGTTTAGAGTTAAGCTGCAGAGTATAGAAATGTCTGTTTTAAAGTAAATGCCTTTCTTTTTTTTTTTTTTTTTTAGTAAATGCCTTTCAAGACTTTCCAGTGTTTTATTCTTGACTCTTAATTTAGATCAATGATGAACATGATAATCTGCATCCATTGCTAACAAAGGTCTCTCCTTAACTCATATGTCAACACTTCATCTTATCTAGGACAGTGTGATAGCTAAATAAAAGTTCACAATTAAATTTAATACTTTCCTATCACTTAAACTTTTTTACACTTAGTCAAAGGTGCTTTTGGCCATAGTGAGACACAGGGTATTTTGTTTTTATCACATATTATTATAGTACAGACATAAAAAGGGGAATATAAGTGAAATAAATTACTTACTCAATTCTTTATATTCAACATCTGATTATTCGAAAACACTGTTTCATCCAGAGGAACAATACAGTTTTCCCCAAAGTATTATCCAGGTACCGTCATACATGTAATTCTGTAATTTTTCTCAAGACCTAAACAACTGTATATTTTGATGCTGCTTCTCTCTTGATCTTATGAGAGATTATCAACAGAAATGTTTTGACTACTTCTTTGTTGCTTATGTAGTTTGTTAACTAAAATGTCAGTTGTCTAGTTATACCACTAAGCACAATAATCAGATTCTTACTGCATGAGCAGTAACATCCATGTGGCCATTGTCTGGCCACGGCAATAATAAGAAACCATCCATCAATTGTAAGACACCTTGGTTTCAGAAATGTAAGATGTGAAAAAAATAATACCGTAAGAAGATGTAAAATATGTGGAAAGGCAAAATTTCAAACATATATTCCTTAGTAATAGATTTATAATGGATTTTTAAGGGTTGATTAAAGATGTTCAAGCCAGACCCTAGGTGATGCCTTAAAGTGTAACTATGATAAACAGAATACTAAGTCAGAGTTTGAGTTGAGCACATTTTCTAGTCTTAAATATTAATTCAAATTTGTATATTTGAATATTTATCATTTACATATCTTCTGTGATTTGATGAATGTAGAAGTCTTAGGGGTCTCTTGTAAGGTTATAATTTTTCATGATTTTGGATGGGGAATTTCAAACATGGAAAAAGAAATAATGAAATAAACCCCTATGTACCCATTAGCAACTTCAGCAGTTATTACATTCACAGTCAACCTTTTTTATCTGTAGTACCATCAAAACCTTCTTTAAATTCCACCTTTGGTTCCTTGAAATATTTTAATCACATAAGAATATTTTTAGGCCAAGGAGATATCTGTTTAATAACTATGCTGAATATTTTCTGACAGGCACTTGGTCTTAGACGAGATGATACATTCTCCGTTACAATGCTTGGTCATTGCATTGAAATGTACATTGGTGATTCAGAAGCTTATATTGGTAAGACTATAGTTATTCTTATAGACATTGCCATTCTTTTTTGTTGTTTTTTTAGATTCTTTGTCTTTGTAGGCCATCTCAGTTTAGATTTCTCTAGTTCTTTCCTAAGGTTCTAAGTGTATCTTTCTAACCTTTCTAACTACATTAATATAAAAAACCTCCATTTATTTTGTTTGAAGAAAGCTGGGGAGAATAGTGACTCATCAATTAGCTATCCATTCAGTTTGATGTTGAGCACTCTATATGTGCACAATGCTGTATATATATATATATATATATATATGCAGTATTATGGGAGCATCAGTCTATGGGAAAACAAGCCTTAGAACATTTTTTTCCTAATAAACTTGAGTGAAAAGGCTCTGGCCTTAATATTTTATAATGCAGGATATAACATAAAATTAATCTATTTCAGTGGAATAGTAATTAATTGCCTTATATTCACTCCAGTGATCTGTAACTCAGTTCTTTTTAAATTTATAATTGCTTAATTTGATAAAAGCAAGTATTGAAATAAATCTGGAAGAAATTCCTGTAATTGACACTTGTGTGGTTGTGTTAGGAAGAGTGTGCATAGTGGTTAAAAGGTAAGGACTGGACTTTGGGTAGGCAGAGATTTCTTTAGCAGGACATAAAGCCATAAAAGGAGAGAGAAAACAACCCAAAACATGATAAACTAGACTTAAGAAACATTAACAGCTTTTGTTCACCTAAGAGCATAATTATGAGAAGGAATGCCATCATCTAGGAGAAATAACTCCTAATAAAAAAGAACTTGCATTTAGAATACAAAAATCTCTACAAATCAGCAAGAAAAACGAAATAATCCAATCATAAAATGAGCAAAATATTTGAATAGGTGCTTCACAAAAGAAGATATCTAAATAGTTCTTAAGCAAAATGAAGATAATCAACATCATAACTTAGCAGACAAACTTGATGAGATGTCACTGTATGTCCACTAGGATGGCTAAAGATTGAAGACACTGTTGATAACTTAGTGGAACTCTCATATGTTATTGTTTATCTTTGGGGTTTAAATTAGTAAAGCCTCTTTCAAAAGCTGTTTAGCTGAATCCACCAGAGGCTCTGCTGGAGAATGAGGAATAGTCTCCTCCTGTACCAGTTAGATCCAATTTGACGGTACACACACACACACACACACACACACACA